AAAATCGTTTCATCCGATAGAGAACTAAAAAGAACTGTTTCAGCGACAGAAGAGCTGGAAAGAACTTTTTAAACGTTCCTCACGAAGAACTGTTCCATTGAAAAGAGAACTTAAAAGAACTGTTAAACGGTTCTTCACCAAGAACTGTTTTAGCGAGAGAAGGGCTGAAAAGAACTTTTTAAAAGTTCCTCACGAAGAACTGTTTCATTGAAAAGAGAACTTAAAAGAACTCCTTAAAGGTTCTTCGTGAAGAACTTTTTTATAAGGTGCTTAAAAGAACCTTTTAGGGTGCAAAATATGGACAAGCCGAAGAACTCCAACAAGTTCTTTTTCGAACTGATTTTTTTTAGTGTGTATGGCCCTGCGAGAAAGGGACTAAAGTGAGTGAAGGAAGGTACCCCAATCGGCGGGAGCTCAACAACTGAGGTAATCTAGTAGTGTTGTCACACCTACACATTGTTTGCGAAGCTTCTGCCCATGCGCAGTGCCGACAGCAGCACCACCGCAGATCCGTGACGTCAGAGAGTTTAGTTTGTGCATAAGAGGGCGCCACTGAACAACTTCGGCGCTAATAGCATGGTGCCTGGAGCGAGTCTTCGACTGTGTTTAGCGCCCTATGCTGCCCATACACCAAAAGTGGTCTGGAAGTGGCAACAAATTACGTCACAGAAGCAGAAGTATCATGCTGTTGCATGTCGCGATCCCGGCGGTTGGTCGTGTCGTAGAAATGATAACTATATAAAAGGCTGCGGGTAGCACAACCGAACGCGAGTGTCGCTGTCGTCACGGCGTCCCAACTTCTGGCTGCCGAAGCTTCCGTGGACTGCTACACTGGAGAGCGACCTGCAGCAGAACAGGCGTCTGCCACTACACCACAGCTGTTGGGACGCCGCCAGGATCGCGACTGACGGCGGCATGGCACTTGTTTGACGTCATCAAGCGGAAATCGAGGGACCACTTTTTTTTTTACGCGGTAAGGCTGCGCCTCCAGCGCGAGTTTTCTGCCTTTGATAACACTTCACGCGTGCACCCACAAAGCTCGGCGGAAGGCAGCGAGCGCTTGTTTGCCACGAGAGTCTCTACTGCATTCACTTAGCTCGCACGGAGATCTTGCAGCGAGAACGTGAAAAGCGCAACAAGGCTCCTACGCACAGCTGCATTTGAGAGCGTTCGAGTGCGTTTAACTGCGTGGCATAAAAACATGAAAGCTAGTCACCGGAACATCTGTGCTTTGTACAAATCGTGAAATCCAATTCAAGGAATAGCTTGGCACGCGACATAGGAAGCACATATGGCCTGGGTTCTCGCAGCCGCAACGCAGTCAAACGCCCTCAGGCGCAATTAGCTGTGTAAACCTACACCCCGGCACGGACAGAATAGCACCATGACAGAACAGCACACGACAAAACAGCACGCGACAAAACAGCACGGTCAAAACAGGACGCGTCAAAACAGCACAGCGTCAAAACAGCACGACGACAAAACAGCACGCGCCAAAATAGCACGCGACAAAACAGCACAGCCTCAAAACGGCAAAGCGACAGAAGAGCACGTGCCAAAACAGCACGGCGTCAAAACAGCACAGCGTCAGAACAGCACAACGTCAAAACAAGACATTGAGAATATAGCTAGGGTTTGGCGTTTTTGGTTTTTATTATTTTAAAACTCGGCGTACATTTTTCGGTTTTTATTCCAAGCAGAAGATTTCGGTTGATTGCTGAGAATATTTGCAGACGCATAAACTTTTCAGTTCTTTTCGGTTTATTGACGAAAACCAGTATACTGACCAAAAAGCAATATTCAAAGGCGTTTGTTTAAAATGTATAGTGAGTAAAACAGGTACTGGATTTCTTATTTGTTGCTGTCTGTGGCAGCCGACGCAACCTGTTCTGCAAAACGCACTGGGGCCCTATCTGGATCTGGCATTATCGTCGCATTTGTACACAGGACGAATATCCCTACTGAAAAAAATTATATGAATTCTTATTATTTCACATCAGTTTCATATGCCGCATATCATTACACTAGGCTAGGTGGCGCTAGGTACCGCCCAATTCATGTGCTACAAAAATATTTATTTACTCACGCCACCATGCAGATACATCACGAGCATGAGTTGAACAAATACATTGAGTGCATACACATACGCGGCACAACAAACATGAATACAACAGCACACCCAATAACTACTTCGAAGCTCTGCGTTTCCGCCTTTTATACAGGTCGTTTTGTAAGTACGGAGTTTTTCGGTGACCACCTACGGAATAAATAATATTTTCAGCGTGGTGGTTTTTGTTCAGTAATGTCATACCTCTGAGAGTATTTAGAACGGCTTAGGGGACGAATCTCTTTATAAAAAGTAAACGCTCATGCCGTAATTATTTGAAAGCCAGTAAATCAAGCCGCTCCACTGCGGTTTTAAGCCACGTGTTTGCTTTCCCGCGCGGCACGTCGTATACTGAAAATAAATTATATGAATTTACTTCTGATATGTTTATTGGACACATTCATATCAGTTGGCATATATTGTATATGAGTTCTTATATAGCGCATATCAGTTTATGGGTATTTCATATCAGCTCTTATATCGCATATCAGTTTTTGGATATTTCATATCAGTTTCATATGTTGCATATCAGTTTTTGGATATTTCATATCAGTTCTTATATAGATTCATATACTTTTTTTCAGTAGGGATCAGCTTTACTACCACTTCGGTCGGAGAAGCAAATATCAAAATCCAAAAATTTGCAAGCATTGTACTCAGTGCGTCTTTCCCCGATTTTCACAACTGCGAGAGGTGGTTGATTCGCGCAGACCAAGAAACGGCAATACTGCAATCGTATTTATGCCCTCCTCTAGTATATAGACGGAAGCTAGGGGTGCTAAAAAATGTGCGGCATTTACGAATGCCCTTTAATTTCATTGTACAGTTCACGATTAAACTCTCTTCTTTGAACAAAGAATTCGGCACAAAAATCCCTATCAGGTGAAAAACCCAGATTTCGTCCTGAAGACCATTACGTCGGTTCAACTTTTGTTGAAAGTTGAACCGATCTCGGGAGACAAGCTGAAAACTGCGAAAGGAAGTGGTCATACGGTCAGTAATGCATTCCCCCACCCATCCCTCCACCTCTTTCAGTTAAAACCGGATTCGTAAAAAATATTTCGTCGTACTTTTACCGGTTTTATCAGTTTAAGTCAAAAACGCTGAACCCTAAATAGAGCGTATGGAGTTTAAAAATTCATGTCTCAAAGTAGGCACTGTAAAGGAATGGAGGGTCTAGGCCAATTCGTCGAAAGCCAATTCGTCGACGGCCAATATGTCAAATCCGTTCTCATGTGGGGAGTATACTCGATGCGCACATGAAGGCTCCCTGGGCAATACCGAAGCCCCCGCTGGTGCGTATTATGGCTTTTTCTCGAGCAGTTCTGCTAATATTGACGCGCAAGTTAGCTGGTGATGTCGTCTACAATAAAGGAATCATTCGCACGGCAATGCGTTTTTGTTAGTTGTTAAAAGAAAAGAAAAAAAGAAGTATGTGCGGCGACGGTGTGCTTAGCCCATGCTGTACGGCAACAGCATTCAGGCTACGGCATGTTTCTGCTTCACCGGTTCCCACTCGATCGAGGCCCCTTCGTCGGCAATAATCTGTGAATTTAACTGAAAACAACTTCTCGCCTGCAAGCCGCAGTCGCGTGTTTCCGGGAAATCTTGTTCACGGCGAATGATCCCCGCAGAATCCGTGCCCATGGTACACCTTGAATTCGCTCGACATTAAAGTTGCCTTATCATGTCGTATTACACCTGAGACTGCGGCGGAAGAAATCGGAAGGACTTTCAGTAGAAGGAACAGACACAGAGAACGTCTCAAACTCGGAACAGACACAGAGAACGTCTCAAACTCAGATGAGCTGAGTTTGAGACGTTCTCTGTGTCTGTTCCTTCTGCTGAAAGTTCTTCCGATTTCTTCCACCGCAGTCTCAGGTGTAATACGACATGATTAGCTACCACCAGCTCGCCTGCACTCTCACCGTCTTTTCACTAAAAGTTGCCTTACCTTCCCGGTTCTATCAATGCATCTGTAATCGGCGCATCTCCCGCTTTTTTGGGGGTCGTTTTACGCTTAGGTGGTAATTACGAAACGACGAGTACCCTCACCGTACCGCCGCAAACCAGACGGTTCATAACTTGAACTTATGGATTTCTTTTTCCCAATAACTTTTCCTCTTTCGCTGGGTCTAAAAAAAATAAAAAATAAAAAAGAGACCAGACAACGCGGCCAACATTGACGCTAAGATGTCACTTCTAACAACCCAATCTCTTCAGAAATCAGCGCAGTTAAGCAGTAGTAACTACTGCTAACTTCGTTTGTTTTTAGCAATCACACAGCAGCACCAGTCGGGACACTGACTTAGCAATAAAATAGGCAATAAATTCCTTTATAACCTAGCGACAATAAATGAAAGGGTTAAGGAGGTTCGAAAATATTCGCGCAAAGGGAGGTGAAGAGCACGCTTGAAGTTGCTGCATACGTGCTCTTTTGTCGCTGTGCTGTTTTGACGCCATGCTGTTTTGGCACGTGCTCTTCTGTCGCTTTGCCGTTTTAACGCTGCGCTATTTTGTCTCGTGCTATTTTGACGCTTGCTGTTTTGTCGCCGTGCTGCTTTGACGATGTGCTGTTTTGACGCGTGCTGTTTTGACCGTGCTGTTTTGTCGCGTGCTGTTTTGTCGTGTGCTGTTCTGTCGCGTTCCCGGACAGAATATAGGGTACCTTCATGTGTGCTTTGCTTAGAGTGATGACATCTGGTCATTTTGTTTCCAGTGCTTATTTTTCTTTTTTGTTCCGAAGGGCGTGAAAGAGCGTCTCCCTTCACGCGCTCTTGGCGTTGACTGCGCCGCTATACATTTTGCTTTCGGCTATCTCTTTGTATTTGCCACGTAAGTGCGTGCGCTGTCGGCATCGGGAAAGCACGTCATCCCTAAACAGAACTGGACATTGAGGCATCCGGAACGGTTTCGGCGTTTATTAGTACTGGACGGTGCTGGCACTGAGCAGGGCGAAGGGCACGCCGTCCTTGGCGGTGCAGATGCACACCTGCTTGCAGCCTGCGTCCAGCTGGATGACGTAGCAGTCCCTCGGGCAGTCGTGCGGGGGACACGTCTCGCACTGGCAGACCGGGCAGCTGCCGCGCACCAGGCGCCTGGTGCAAGCCTGGTTCTCCTTGGGCTGGCACGAGAACATGCCCGTTGCCTGGGCGCAGGGTGCTGCGAACCAACATAGTATACTTCAGACAAAGGCTGACGATACCCTTTGGTACGAACTGCTCATGTGCTACCGTAGAAGACTCGCGCATGCGCAGTTCGTATTGGAGGGCCCATCGTATGCGGAGCGCAAGTTCGTCTGCTTCTTTTGCGGGAGGGGTCGGGGAGGGGGGGGTTGTGGTGACGTCAGAATGATGAGCTCTGATTGGCTCTGATTGAAGGACGGTGGGTAGGATCTCAAGGCAGCTTGCTTTGAGCTCTACCAACTATCATTCAATCGGAGCCAATCAGAACACGGCGTCGTTCTGACGTCACGGCAACCCCTGCAAAAGAAGCAGACGACTGGCTTTCCGCATACCGTATCGGATGTGCAAAAACGGTTCCCTAAATCTCCTTGATTGTGTGCGGACGCACCTCAAGCATGTCCGAAGCCTGGTTGCTTCACACATGCATACTATGAACATGTCTGCAGGCAGTATTTCTATGGCCAATGGTCAATAAAGAAACAAGCCTCAGACGGTGCGTGCAGAGTGTCGTCTGTGTGATGCGATAGCTGAGTGACCCCGGTTTTACATTATGGTTCACGGATTTGCATTTGATTGTAATCGACTGCGCTATTACCGTTTGTGATGAGTATATACGTCGACGCGTATACTGTACCGGATACACGACAGTGCAGCCTCCATTGAACTTGCAGACAAGGAGATTGAGTTCTTGCAAGCGATGGTGGGACATCGGACGAGTTGATTGTGGCGCGATGGCACAGTGAGTATGGTTTCGTCTTTTCCGCGATTAAACGGCTGAAAGTTAGCGCACATTTCTTGCTGATTTCGTTTTGTCATTGTTCATCTTTGTTGATGTCCTCGAGGGCTAACATGGACTCATTTGCTCTTGTCCTCGAGCGCTGTCATGTATTCTCAAATTCAGCACCAACGCGCCCAACTGTCAGAGTCACCGGAAAATCGAGACGAGAGAGAGAGAGAGAGCGCAAGGAGAGAGAAAGATACGTGGTAAGGCCGGTTCCCACAGCACCGTCTGCTTACGTTAGCTTACGTCTGCTGATGTCAAGAGTCCCCAGAACATTCGTGCTCCGCGTGAAGCGTAGCGACCAAGTATACCTTTGTACGCGACATTCGAAGCAAGGATGTTTCGGTGACTTACAAGTTCGTATCGTAAGAAAACGTAAAAAAAAAACGTTCAGCCGTTCAACTCTCGTGACGAACGAAGACCAGCGGAGCTTTACTCGCTGCACTGTGTGCTTCTTCTTCGTCATCGTCTGTTTTTCGCGCTGTTTCCCATACGATGAATTCCCACCAACGCGCCCAGCTTCTACGATAGCTGGAAAGGTTGCCGCCATCTACGAGTGACGGCGGAAACCATACTGGTTGTGTGCTTGCCGCCGGCGCTTATAGATGGCGGTAGCTGTCCAGGTAGGTTTGTGTCGACATACACGGACACGATCCTGGGGAACCTAGTCCTTAACAGCTCCGCTGTAAAAAGAACGGTGTCTGTGTGAACCGGTCTTTGGACTCACTGTCGCAGTTGCAGGACAGGCACTCGCCGGCCTTCTCCGGGACGCAGAAGTGGCCCTCCTTGCACGGCTTCACTCGGACGGGACAACCCTGCGGAAGGGTCACTGCGAGCACGCAAAACTCTAAAGGTCCGTTCACACTCTTGCAACCGAATACGACTGAGAGAGACCAGACCGGTTTTTAAGCCTTTTGCGACTTCTTAGGACCGGATGCGATGCAGCCGAGCTGGTCCTAAGAGATCGCAAGAGGCTTAAAAACTGGTCTGGTCTCTCTCAGTCTTACTCGGTCGCAAGAGTGTGAATGGCGCTTAACGTTTAAGGCCCGTTCACACTCTTGCGACTGCTTGCGACCTCTTAAACCTGGGTTCCTTAAAACTTCTTAAACCAGAGAGCACACTGGCGCCATCTATTGGGAAGCAGTGTAAACTCGGCGGTCCGGCATATTTTTTTTTTTATTTCTCGCGCAATATCCTTTCTTTTTTGGCTCGAAAAACTTTTGTCAATGTTATAAACGAGCCTTTCTATGGGTATTACGCACATTTGACCTCGGAAATCCCGCAAAACCTTCGCTTTTGTGAAATGCAGTTCTAGGGTCACCGCATAGATGGCGCCACAATGTCAGTGTGTTCCCTCATTCTAGAAACATTTAAGAAGTTGTAAGAGATCTTGTCTCTCTCAGTCGTACTCGGTCGCAAGAGTGTGAACGGGCCTTTAGACTCCGTTCACTGCAGGCTTCGACGAAAGCGCTTTGTACTTCGCAAAGTACGCGCAAAACTTCTGATCACAAAAAAAAAATAAAAAATTTGTTTGCTTCTTTGCGTTACCAAAATATATTAGACGCTATCACCAAACGCAGAACAAAATTCTAGAGGCACAAACGAGAATTCATACTTTTGTGTACAGGGGGTCCCGAAAACAAATAATTAACTTACGATGTTTATTTCATCGCAAAAATAAACTAGGCGTAGTCAAAAGTTTGTTCTTTGCCCAAATGATACCGTTAGCGGTCAAGACCAGAGCAAAGTTTCAGAACTTGTCGTTATGTGATTCTTTAAAAAAAAAACAATTAGGCGATTTTAAAACTTTTTACCGAAAATATCGTGGCCAGCGAAGCCCACACACATATATGGTGATGAATGGATTGAGTCACGAAGAATGGGCTCCCTTTTCCTATTAAAATTTTTAGAAAAAAGACATTTATACTTATTAAATAAGGCAACGGGTCAATTCGGAATCTTTGGCATCTTGTTCTGAATACTTGCTTCTCATTTTAACGGAGGCTAAGGGTTCAGCTATGCGTAATTTATTTTTGCAGTAAAAAAAATCAATTTTTCTAAAAAAAAGGGGGGTAGGGGGAGGGGGGGACACGCTGTATATGTTTTACGGAAAACATCTTAATAATAGTGCATTACAAAAATATTTTTCGCTTACCGTTTCCTACAGGGTCATCTGTATGAACAAAAGAAAAAAAAAACTTATTAGTTTGTACGAATGTGCTACGAAACTATTTCAAACGTCATATTCTCTACTAGGAAGGCCTTCCTGGAATTATATCGTATACCTCGTAAATTATTTAATAAATAAAGCATCTTAAAAGTACCGAACCTAAAAGCATAACGGGTATAAAAGCGGGGTAAATATATCTGCAGCGTCTACTTTTCCGCAGAGCACTTTGGTGAGTCAATCGCTGTAGTCTATACGCAGAGAGCTCGGCGAATGGCGAGACTGAACATATGTCTAGACCACGGTGGTCTAGACCTAGAGAAGAGTCTGCGCTGGGACACCGATCATCAGGTTTCGTTATGCTCAGTGCCCTGCAGAGCTATAGCTATGGTCTTCTAGGTCTAAACATTTTTTTTAAATGTATCTCCTATATCTATTTCGTATTTTTGATGTATTTCGGGTCTTTTTCGGTTGGGCAGCTCGAGACGGGGCAAAAAAGAAAAAAAAACGTTATCATCGGTGGAAAAAAAAAATAAAGAGGACGAAAATTGTTATTCACAATATAATACGTTTGACGAACCTCAACGGAGGAGGAGTTTCGAAGAGAAGGTTCAACGACCGTTGTTTTTCGGTTTTCGTCAGGGAGAAAATATTGAACCACCGGTGTATTTCGGATTGAACCGGTTTTGTATGTTTGTCACCGGTGGATGTTTTCTGTTAAAACCAGAAAGTGCACAGCCTATACTCCGTTTCACCTTATGTTGTACCGCAGACAAGGCTAGAAGCGAGAGTTCATAGCGTTGGGAGCTACTCTTAAAGGAGCTGTGCAACGATATTCAATTGGAATGTTTTTCTCTCTACACTAGCTTACTGGCACACCTCGGACTCAAGGATACCCACACGGAACGCCATTGGCCAAGAAACTCCTTTGTTGCGGTGTAATTTCAAGGACAAAAGCGATCATTTTCATTCAATCTCTCCTTTGCAAAATTTGATGACGTAACTCGGGGATCCCAGTACACCCAAGTGACGATATTTGAATGCGGTTCATAGATTGGACCCGAGCATTGCGTGGGCACTCGACTTGGGCTCGTGACAATTGCTAGCTCGAGAAGCATTCGGGTTGTGACCCGTGTCCAATCGCTGCAACGACGACAACAGCCGAGCCATAACAATGTCTGGAACTCAGCGCGTGTCCTGCGCTTTGCCAACCCCTGCGCGTGGCTATGATCAACACTGGCGGCATATAATCGGCTCCAGATCACGTGGCCGCTTGTTCTGGCTGCGAGTTGAGGGGGTGAACGCCGCTCGTTTTTCTTAAATTTTTTTCTGGGACTTCTATTGCGTGGGGTGAAAACCAAACGCGTGTTTCATAGGTCATTAACGTTAGGGATCCGATTTAAGCGGTATTTGTGCACAGTACAAAAATTGTTGCATCGCTCCTTTAAGGCTGAACTCCATGGGACGAATATGCTGCGAATAACCTAAGAATTTTTTCCGGCGGCTTTTGCTCTGCGCATGGAATGAACACAGTGGCTGCTACGTCGCGCGCAAAACGAGCGTGCCGTCGGGCAGCGTTCGCCAGTTATTCGTCCCATAATTCGTTCCATGGAGTTCATTCAGCCTTTAACGTACGAGAGCTTGTGCCGCCGCGTTGTGCCCTAGAGCAAGGAGCTCGCCCTTGTAGCCTTTCCTGTGGTACATCATAAGGTGAAACAGAGTATAGTGTAACAAGTTATAACGCATCTCTATAAAAAAAAATATACAAAAAAAGTTGTTTTAATATATTTCTCAAGCTTTCTTGTTACTATTACTTGCCGGGGTTTTAAAGACTCGATATTTGTTAAACTTCACAAAAGTGGAACGGGAAGTGTTGGGAGAAGGAACTCACAGCAGTCGCAGTGTCCGCTGCATCCTTCTTTGGGCGTGTTGCACTCGTAGCCGTCGGGACATCCGAAGGCCACGTCCTTGCAGTGTGCTTTGGCCTCCGCGTGCGGTTCCTTCGAATCCTGAACTGAAGGTTTTTCTTTTTTGATATGGGACGCCCTCGCTAAACGTATGACACACTCTCTCCTCAAAATAGTGTACTTTTGTTATTCGCGATAATCATCGACGGATGCAGTCACCTCCGTCGGCAATTCAAAGGCCTAGATTTTAAGAATATAGTCGTTAAATAGCGTCAGTGCTAAGGTTAGCCATCGAAGAAGCAGAGGTATATGCGAAAAGAATAAACGGGGTAAAAAAAGCTATATATATATATATACTCATTATTTTCTGAAGTCAGAAACGAAAAGTATGGGATCGGAAAAGAGCGAACCCGGGAAACCGTCCATTTTCTCATTGCTTTTCGAACCATAGGCCTAACAAATGGCCGTATTTTGTTTATATATTTACTTTATTTAACAATTTTCCCGGTCTACACATAGCTTACATACCAGGCACCCAAACCCCGAAGAGGTGAAAATCTCAATATGGCTAACACTCAAAATGTATACGAACCTGAGTAAGAGCATCTCTTGAATCATCAACATAGAGCCGCCCAGGTAGACCGACTTACGAATTCTCAACACTGCAGCTGCCAATAAAACTTGAATAAATCAACCATCGAGCCCTTGTCACTCACTGCAGCTGATCAGTGGCAATTCGAGTGCAACGCGGCGAAGTCACACATCCACGAGCTTCTAACACATGGAGATAAATGGCAACGTACAAAGACAATTGGCAACAGCGAGCAATACATTTCTTAGTGAAATATAATTAAAAAACCAAAAAAAGGCCGCAGTGACTCTTCTCGTACATATATTATACAAAAAACAAGGTGTTCCGCCGACACGCCTTAAACATGTTCGCAGCATGTTTGCCTCGTGTTCCCCGAACATCTCTGCAGACAAATTTTGTTTGACCAACATGAGAGCACCGTCAGGCAAGAAAGAAGCACGCCTCGGGCTACAGGCCTATTATGGAAATCATCGAAAGCGTTCAAAATACCTTTATCGTCAGCTTCCGCTCGTAGACAGACGGCCCCCACAAGGAGCGCCAAGAAACACGCAGCGTTCATTCTCGGCGTGCGCGAGCGATGTGCGTGTTGTGGAGACGCGGCGAGGCAGCGTTTCCTCCGCGACGGATGTTCAGGAAATGCTGCAGCGGCGACGAAGCCACGGACGCTGCCGCCGCAGAAGCGCGGTCAAGGTCCCACCTTCCCCGGTGGCAGGCGGCCATTTGACGCGGCTGACTCAAGCGCTCCGCTTACAGTGGCGCCGGTTAGTGACTGCACAGCTCGGTTATTGTCGAAAGTTGTGGGCAGCTCAATCGGTGTGTTCTTTCACAGCAGTACTCTTGGTAGGTTCGGAATGAAATAGTGCCCTCTCCCGAGTTTGTTACACCAGTAAGACGCAGACTTGTAATCGATTACATTTTTCTGTAATTTTGTAACGCTTTAATTACTTCCTTTAAGTAGTAACGATCCGTGTAATTGAATTACTTTTTTGCTCTAATTGATTACAAAATTACCCATTACAATTTTTCTCAATTTTTTTTTTCTTTTTTTTTTTTGGGGGGGGGGGGGGATGGGTTAGATGTGCTGGCGTTACTCAACTCTGGGCAACGGTCAATTTTTTTTTTCTTTTTCAAAACCATTAAGCAAAAATTGTTGCAAGGCCCTTTTAAGTGTAGACGCATCCAACGCTACGAGCTGTTGTGATCAATCAGACAGCGCCAACAGCACCCCATTATGCCGTTGGTCATGTCTCACCGCTGAGCCAATCATTAACCCGAAAGACCCAGTGTCTTGCCCTTTTTGACGTTGCTTGATTGATCTCATCAGCTCGTAGCGTTGGTTCCGTCTGGATCTGAAGCTGAAACGAACTATACTATTATTTCAGCTCTAGTCTTATCTCCCGCCGAAAACAACCGTGTTTATCCAACCGAACTCCACAACCTTTTTTCGCATAGTTTACATTACGCGGCAGTGCCGTGTAATGCACTCATTCCTATTCAAAGCGTCTTTTTTTTTCTTCTCTGACACGCGGGGATTTCTCGGCTCTTGCGTGGCGGATTATACGCGGATCGGGATGTTGTCTGATAGACGAGTACGAAGAGAGTGATTCCTGTTATTGTTAATGGCAACTCGAGGAAGGCCGCGTGCAGACTGGACAGGCTGCAGACGCTCGGGCCGGTCGTGGAGATATGACGTAATCTAATGACAGCTTGCCTTAGAAGTTAGCGGCGATCGAGAGTATTTGTTACCAGGCGGACGTTTCGCAAAATGAGTCTGATATTTCTCGGTACTACCGAACTCTACACCTAGCACATGAACAAATGAATAAACAAATAAATAAATAGATATATAGATAGATAGATAGATTAATTGATTGATCGATTGATTGATTGATTGATTGGAATTACGTTTGTAGGAAATGTTATTTATGAGGGCAGTAAATGAGAGAGACGAGAGGGAACGTCAGAACACCGAGCTGTGGTTGGAATCATTAGTGGTTAAAGACGCAAAGCTATAGCTGCCTTTGTCTCTATTGACTCTTCGAACGCGTTCGAACGCCAAAAGTCGACATCTTGCGTTCGGCGTTCGCGGTCCAAAGCGTTCAAAAAGTGGGTATAGGGACAAAGGCAGCTCGGAGCTTTACGACTCCGTCCACTAATCATTCCGGTAAGCAGCTCGGCGTTCCGCCGTCCGCGACCTCTCCTCTTTTCCTCTCCCTCAGTTTGTCGTATGGCTCGCACATTGCACTACAAACGACACACTGTTCGCTGCAGCATAACCTTCTATATACTGACAAAGCCTGACAGATCGCCACGAGAAGCGGCCGCCGAAATGGAGGAGGTGGAGCGGCAGACAACGGATGAGAGGAGAGCCACGTGACTGGCGCCCCGCTGCGGCGACACGCCGAAACACACTTCTCCGTCCCGAGCGAACAAGTGTGTTTGGGGTCCTCGCCGCTGCAAAAGCTGTGCGCAGACATCCAGGTTCTCCGAGAAATGGCTCCTTGATGCTCTGTGCTACCAGATCCTCGAATTCCAAATCAGCGACCGGGCACTCTATTGCTCCGTCGTCGAACTGCCAGGTTTTGTGAGTAAAATGGAGGCTATCGCTGGCAAACGTGATGAGAGAACTACTCGCGTCTCAAGCGTGTCTGCTGAGGCACGTTTGCTTCGCACACGCTTCCGACATGTCTGCTGGCAGTTTTTGGATGATCAACGTACACCGTCCCATACAGAGAACCAACACTCCTCAGACAGAGTCTGTACAAACTGTCTTTTTGTTTTCTTTTGACGATGTACAGGGTGCGACTTTAAGGAGTGACACAATTGGCACGCCTCGCAAAATACGAATTACAAACGTGCATACATGAAAATCGGCACGCCGACATAGTTTCGTAAAAAGTTTTATGTCTTTTCTTTTTTCCTTTTTGAGAAAGCTCGAAATATATGTGGTAAAATACATTAAAAAAAATAGAGTAAAAACGGCGGCCGAGCATTTTCTATGCGCTATATCGATGTTTTTCGTCTTCACACTGGTTCGTGAGCTTGCTCCCAGCAGCTGGTCATTGTTCATATATTTCGTTCCTCTGCTATTAAAATTGTAGGTTTTTTTTTTTGTTTTTTTTCTCTTGTTCAGCTCGCCACTCCCTTGTAAATCAGTGTGCAGACGGTTAGCCGTATAGGACATTGAAAATACGCTGACTGCCATTTTGCTTTATTTGTGATATTTCACTAACTCAAAATTGAGCTCCAGCAAAGAAAATAGGTATAAAACTTCCGTCGAAGCTACGTTCGCGAGCCCAATTTCGGGTACATATACATTTGGAATTTGAATTTCACGAAACGTGCCAAAATGTCTTAGTCCTTACGACCGCACCCTGTATAAGAAGCACTCAGGGTGAATGCGTCTTTGTGCTTCCATCCTCTGTCATATGTGCCCCGCTTTTTTTGCGTACCCGCTTTAGCTCGCTTACGGAAGCGGCCTTGCAGTGTTGCCTCGAAGAGACGGGGAGGATGCGCCCGACCTCCCAAGGGGTCACGGCACTCCGGTCGTGTTTCTAGCCCTTTCTTTTTTCTTTTATTTTTATTTGTCAACTTTCTTTTTGTTTCTATTACCACTCGAGGTCGACTGGGAGGAAGAAGAAACGCGCATGGAGATTCGAGGTTTCTTGTATAGAATACGCGGACAATTAAGGCTGTACGCATTCAGCGCTTTTGAGCGCCGCTCACCGATGAAGGCTTCGCTGGGTGTGTTTCGGCGGTGTCAAACGCTGGGAAACAGTGACGTGCCGCCACAACATGAACGCGTGTTTTTATCGCTTGAATTTAGCACGTTTCTGGGATTTTTATTCCCTTTAATTTTTATTTCGGACAAGGAGCTGTCACCTGTCAAATATTGTGAGAAAAAGAAAAAAAAAAAAACATTTCAAACAGCTTCAAAAACAGTGCCGTTCGAGGTGCACGGGAAAGAAATCGAGAGTATTCATCTTTCTAACACGAATATAAACAAGTGTGTTTTCCTGCTGTGGAGTCAGCACCAATAAATCCTTGCTCTTACTATTAAAAAAAAAACACAAAAAACACACACGCGAACACGACAAAGTCCTTACTTTTTTAAAGGTGAGGTCTATTTAAGCTTCGTTTTGTTTTGCTAATAACGTTTTAAGATTAACTAAATGTCCGTTGCTGTTGTTGTTTTCGGTTTTGTTTTTTCTTGAATTTCAGAATGTTTTTTCAGGGTTTATTTTTTCCCAACAGGTTTATTTATTAATTAACATATGTATTTACATAACACCTACCCTGCCTCCTGGGCATTATCGTAGGGAGGTCGGGTTGGAGGGGGGGGGGGGGGGCAGTATAAACACAGGACATTTCAAGTCATGTGGAAAAGTTCACGAACAGGAAGCAAGAAATGATACATCGTTGTCTGTAATGGTGTCTAGCTCTTCTGGTAGCATGTTCCAATATCTAATATCTTGCTGTCTTCAGAAAGAAAAAGATAAACAATTTCTAAATCTGTTTGCTTTGAAAGAATACTCAATGACTATCATTGAGTGATCACATCGTGCTGAAATATAAGTTGGCCCAAGAAGATCCTAGTTTTTATCTATACCAATCTTATCATAATAGATTTGAAGAAATAATTTTAAACAAATTTTTTTCGTCGAGTGGTTAAGGCATCCCAACCCAGCATGGTTTTTGACCCAGAAGTGTTACCGTAGGTGTCAAAGTTATCACTAACAAATCGCACAGCCTGATTCTGAGCCTTTTCTTGTCTCTCAATAAGATAATCCTGGTAAGGGTCCCATACTATACACACGCAGATTCAAGTATTGACCTAACATGTAAAAACTGAAGTGTCTCTTTTACTCTGTTGATGCGTCTCTAAAATTCCTACGAAAAAAATGTAACATTATGCCCGCCTTGCTTATCGTATTTTTGGTATGCTTATTCCACGTAAGTGACTGTGCAAAAATAAACGCATAAATAATTATACTCAGAGACGCTGCTGATCATCGTAGTTTTTAGA